ATGGGAGAGATGATCAGGTTCTGCAGAAAAAAAGGAAAAGGTACCTGCTGAAGGCAGAAGTAGTGAGGGGCCCGATCCTTTTTTTTCCTCACTGGAGCCTGCCTGCCTCTTCAGCAGCTGGGAGCTGAGCTGCTGGTGGGCCGAGCAACCCCTGAGCTGCAGGGGCCCCAGTCCTTCCCTCTGCAGCAGTGGCACCCCCTGGCAGCACCCCTAGTGGGCTGGGTGCTGCCCCAGCTCAGGGTCGGGGAAGACTTGAATTGGGCCAGGTGATGCCTCTGAGCTGGGGCAGCACCCAGCCTTTTAGCAGCCCACTTGGGCAGCCCCAGGGGGCATGGAGGAAAAGAGCAAGGCCCTCCACAGCTTAGGGGCCACTTGGTCTGCTGGCAGCTCGCCCACTGACCATGGGCAAGTTCTGGAGGGAAAAAAAACCCAAAAGCATTGGACCCTTCGCTATAACAGTGATGGAAACACCTAAATTGACATGGTAAGTTTCAATTAAAAGCCCAGTGTTTCAATTTAGGGGACATAAAATGCAACCTTAAGGACTAAACTCCCATCACGTGTACAAGTGCCCATAGACACCATTGTCGAAGCTCTGTTTAATCTGTTGAAGTAGGTCCCAAAGCATTTTTCATAGATGGACTTGATAGATGCAGACTTTCAAATGTCTACTCCATCTGCTCCATTGACAGGAAGTGTATATTGCGCTGCTGTTGCATGGAGCGGTAGTGCTACAATGTTCCTTAAAGAAGAGAAAACTGTACATAATCACTTTTAGCTTTCATTGAATTTCCACTTCAAGTACCAAAGTTCAAAATGTAGAGTCAAATGTTATTTGTCGATGTAAATATGTCATCCATGACATATTTGATGACCCATATTTTCATGTAAACTCAGTGTAAATACACACCTATAATTGAGAGCTGTCTTAAGACATCAGTACTGTAGAGACATTTTAAAATATTGAATCCAGCAGTGGCTGAAACAGATGAACTTGCCTATGAATGGAGATTGCACTTGATCTTATCAGAGCACCATAAAACCATGTTTCAAAAGATGGAAACTTGAGTGGTTTTATGGTAGTGACTTTTCAGAGGAAGCCATTCATTGCAGTTCAGATTCTGCATTCTTTGCCCCAAAAACGAATACTGCAATATTATAAATGATGACATAATTGCTAGAATTATTGGAGGAGAAAGAATATGCTTTAAATGTAGATGGTGTAGATAATGAACATGGTAATGAGAATATCCAATATCCAACCAAGTTTCCCAACAGTTTCTCACTAAGCTATTTGCCTCACCACAGGTTCACACACAAGGAGGGAACTATTGTGATTTTGGTACAAAATGTGAATCTGAAAATTATGTTAATCAGCATCACAACACTTATTGTAAGAAGACTTTATGATGATCCTATAGACATATAACATACTCTTTTGCCAAGATTCACATTTTATTAGTCAGGCACAGCTCTGCCTTTTAAGATATACAATGCAATTTCTTATCAGAGTAGCTTTTGCAATGACTATCAACGCAAGACAGGGGCAAATAGAGTAGGTATTTACCTACCACAGTGCTAAGAGTGAAATTATTTGACAATGTGAAAATGCAAATTATTCAGACAAATGAGCAATGATCATTGCCAAAATTGGAAGGTGTTTACTGGAACAATGTGATATTCTGCAAAACCCTCCAGTGAAGTTCATAATTTTAATACGCCTCTTCAAGATCACATGCTGTTGATCTCACCTTCATGACTTGCAAAAAATTGATCAGCTTATGTTTGTTTAATTATGTGTTTAAACATCCTTTTAAGCCTACTCCAAGTTAAGCAAGTGAATTCAAAAGGTAAATGGACTATGTCAATATATTTTAACCCAGTTTTGTGCTAGGTTTCTCTGGAAATTTTTGGAAGCAAATTACTTTAAATCTTTCAATCAGCTGTATGGTGAGGTTGAAAAGAGTTAAAAAAAACCAACAAAAAAACCCTGCTACAACTGGGTCAAACTTGTATCCAGAACTGGCATGTTCTTCTTCACTAAAGATTTCAAAGTTTTTTACACAAACTTTACACAAATTTGACACAGAATTTGGCTGAAGATAAACAGGAAAATCAACAATAAGCCAAATGTTAAAAGAAAAACTGTAATGGAGAAAAGAAGAGGAGAAGTTGCAAGAACAAATTAAACAAGCTTGAGTTGATCAATGGTGTGATGTATTTGATCATGTGTTACAACCTGAAGCATCTTTTAGCTTTAAGAGCTCGCAGTTGGCAAAGAAATTTGGTATAAAGAGTTATTCAAGAAAGATGTGTAAAGCAAATTTCTGGCCATGTTTCTAAGGAAACACCCACACCCATATCCCATACCTTTAGTTTGTCTTGGAAATATAATTTAGCCTTTGTGATATGCAAAGGGTATTTTTCAACTGCAGATTTTTGGGACATTCTTTTTCTTTCTAGCTTTGATCTTCACTGATAGCCTGTCTGCCTTTGGAATGTAATACAGCTGCAGCCAGGTTCTCACACCTGCAGTAGGCAGTAGCATAGCTGGATGTATAACAGAGCTGGACCAAAGCTGCAAAACATTTTTAATGAATTAATTTTGGCTCTGTGCTCACCCTTTCTCAAAGGAGCTTTCACTAACTTTCTAACAAATGGTGTGAGTGAGTGTGTTATTGCAAGTTCTAACAAGTGAAGGGGACTAACGCCTTTAAAACAAATATTAATGAACAGAGTATGTTAGTTCCACTACCTGAAGGTTTTTTATGAAAATGCTCTGCCTGAAGCATTAAACTCATCCACTAGAGAACAGATCTTGAACCATGGGCTGGATTGTGACTAGGCCCATCCAGGGGATTAAGAATTTCCTCTTCCATCCCTGCATCTGACTTCTTAGTGTAGCTCCAGATAAGCATTTCTATAGATCAGATTTTGAATATATGCAGTAGTCATGAAGGAACTGGAAACTGAAAACTATATGCAGACATGTTTCTTCCATTTCTTTTGAATAATGGATGCTTTTAAGATAATTGTAATCTGCTTGTGGACAATTTGCAAACAAAAGGAAAAGTGGAATTCACTGTATTTGTTATTCTTTGCCATCAATTACCCATCACTTTCTGAGACCGTGTGGCCTTTACTTGGGCCACATGAAAATACCTTGGTAGGCCAAAATATTAACAAAAAAAATCAAAAACCACACTGAAATCAGAGAAGCACATGGTGGGAGGGGAGGGGAGGGTCACTAGCCATAGTTTTCTCCATCGCCTGCCACCTCTGTTAGTTGTTCTTCCCGGGCAAACAAAACTTGACTATGCAGCTGTAGTGTTGTAAAATATATTTTGAAAGAGGATCAATTCATTTGTTTCATGAGTCTGCATTTAATAAAAAAGAGAAGCACCCAATCTTGTCTTTTTTCTAGACATTTAATGAAAATATTCTGTTGCACTGGAACATAATAAAGATGTGATTTCAACACACAGATGTTTAGCAGTAAGAGCCATGCTTTCATTCCTTTGTGCAGTGCTCAGAACTCAATGTACTCTAAAACTTTTCTTTTGGCTATGACATGAGCTAATGTCAAAGTAAATGAAGATCTGACAGTGAATCCATTTCATCACTGCTGATGCTCATGGTCATTGCAGGCCTGTTACTAGCTATCTGATCATCTTTTGAAATTGTGCTTTTGATGACCCAGGCTTATATCTTCTAACAAAATTATTGGTATGATTGAATATTCAGAGGAGCAGAAAAAAGTGTCTTCGTCTTATATAGTATGGTACAACAAGAGGCTTCCAGTTTTCTCAAGCAGACTGTCCAGTGAGCTTCAGTAGGCCAAATGCATCAGGGTTGTAACTGTTGATTTGATTTGCATAACACCAGGGAAAACCTGTCTCGGTGTATCTACTGAGCTTTGTGCTTAGTACAAAACCAATTTATCCCGATTTGAGCATTCATACAGAATTTTCAGAAGAGACACTAAGTCTGATTTTTCTCCTTCCAGTCCGACCAATTGTGCTGTGTTTAATCACCATTGCTGTATGGGGAAGATTTTTCTGGCTGCAAAATCTGAATATGGCAAAACCCTCTGTGTTTTTCCCTTAGGTTGGATGATAGTGTACGTGGCTATCGACTTTCTTAGGCATAAACGTACCTTATACTTTAGGGAACATGCATCCATGTAATGAAGCATAGCAGATAGTCATGCATAATTTGGCTCTTATCTTATGTATTACTGTTTGTGAGACAGCAGTGGGAATAAAGACATGCTTGATTGTAGGTACAGGATAATTTTTTCTGTATCGAAACTGATGTTGGCCCTAAATTTTACCTTCATTTTTATTATTTAATTTCTTTTAATTATTGCTATGTAGCACTTATCTAGGGTTGCTCTTTCACCCTTATGCAAGTGAGCAATGTTCTGCTGCCTACCAACCATTCCCCCCTATCTCCATCCTGAAAAGTTTGTAGAGTGTACCATCACACCTATCAGATGATCATAGGGTCAGGAGGATCAGACTTGGGTTCTGAACTTGCTGTTGTCCCTGGTGCATCTCCATTTGGCTTTTTGACAGCAGGTCTTCACTGGAGGTATTCTCACAGATTCACTCTAGGCTGATCAATTCCCACTTTATCCCTATACACGCCTCCATAAGGAGCCCAATGCAGAGCCAGGAAATTATGCCATAGGCCTGGCTTGAGCAAACCTCCCATATGTGATGGTCATTTCTAATGTTGACATAAGGGTGACAATCCATCCTACTGCATATGATATCTCCAAAAAGTGGTACAAATTCCACTATTCCTGTGAGACAGGTGGGCTTGTTTCATAGCCACCTGTTTAACTGATGCCCCATAATGGTCTTGTTGAATGATGACTTAGTACTGTCAACATCTATTATTAAGTCTCATTATTTATGTGTATTTAAAATAATTTCTGATGCAAAATAGCAAAACATGTATAGGATGAACCTGTTTTCCTTTCTGTTGCTTTTCAGAAATTGAAGCAAAGGAAACGTGTGACTGGTTACGAGCTGCTGGATTTCCACAATATGCTCATCTCTATGAAGGTATGTTGTTGTGGATATTTCTATTGCTATAACTCCTAAAGTGTCCCATGCATTTCATTACGCACTCCAAGCCTGCACAGCTTACAAGCTATAGTGTTGTCAGTTCACATGATGGTATTGTGAACAACAGGAACTGATTTTCTGAAAGTCTTCATTCCTGGAGTCACATGAGTACATAAACATCTCTAATTTCATTTCTAAAAAGTGAGTTTCTTGTCTTCATGTTATGGTGAAAAGTTTGATGCTGGGTGCATCTACACATGCAATTAATGCAATGCAATAAACTCCAGAACCATTTGAGCCAGAGTACACCCCTCCCAGGTGCACTGTTTACATATGCACCTGGGACAGCAGCAATTTGAGCCAGGATGGAGCACCCTGGGCTGGCAGTGGTCATGGGGAATCAGACCCAGGCTCTGGGTGACAGCATCAGACAGCAGAGGGGCTGGCAGGAACTGTGGGTCTGGCCCGTGGCTAGCTGGCCTGACTGGGCACAATTTGCACCTGGTGGTCACCATCTACATGTGTTTAATCAGACTTAATGCTATCTTACAGCAGAGTTAGTTAGTTTACTGCATCCTAATACCAGCAGATGGTGACACTTTCCTGTGGAGCTAACTAGTCAACTCTGCAGTAAAGCACACATCTAGATTCACCTACAGTGACCTCTGCGAGCCTCAAAGGTTCACAAATCAGATGAGTTAAAAGAGCCCCAAAAGCAATTTTAATAAATTCTTCATAAGTTTGAGGGCTGTCACTGCCAGTTCTTCCTCTGCTTGAATCTGTGAGGTGTCTGTCTAGGTGGGGATACTCACAGTCAAGGTTTCCATGTACATCCTGGTTTGGCACTGTGGAGACTGCAGCTTGAAGTTTCCTTTCAGTGACAGCCAGATGGGAGAGGGCCAGATGGGAATCTGGCTATCTGACTACTATTCCACAGTGCTCATCCATGTGGGCACCAGTGATACTGCCGGGGTGACCCTGAGCAGTTCAAAAGTGACTACAGGGCTCTGGGGGTAAGGGAGAAGGGGACAGGGGCTCAGGTGGTGTTCTTCTTGATCCTTCCAGTCAAAAAGAAGGGCCTAGATGTGAGCGGATGCATCCTGCAGATCAATGCATAGCTGCGCACATGGTGTCACCAGCAGGGCTTTGGCTTCTTTGACCACAGGATGTTGTTTCAAGGAAAAGGATTGCTAGGAAGAGATGAGATCTTTCCAGATAGGCTCTCTAACCTAGGGAAGAAGGCATTAAATTCGGTTTGCCAGGGGTGGAGACCAGAGCCCTGAGGTAAGTGGGGAAGTTGGATGACCTGAAAGAAGCACAAGCAGGAAGGGACAATAGGGGAGGCCTTCCCATTCTTCCTGAGAAAGTAGGGCAACTGGCTAGTTACCTAAGGTATTTGTATACAATTGCATGAAGCCTGGGAAACAAGCAGGAAGAATTGAAAGTCCTCGCATAGTCACGGAACTGAAATGTGACTGGAATAACAGAGACTTGGTGGGACAGCTTGCATGACTGGAGCACTGTCATGGATGGGTATAAACTGTTCAGGAAGGACAGAAAGGGGAGAAGAGGAGGAGGAATTGTACTTTATGTAAAAGAGCTATAGAGCTCCAGGATGAAACTGGAGATAGGCCTGTTGAAAGTCCCTGGGTTAGGGTCAGAGGGAAGAGCAACAAAGGTAATGTCATGGTGGGTGTCTGCTATAGACCACCAGATGAGGAGGAAGTGGTGGGTGAGGCTTTCTTCAAACAGCTAGAAGAAGTTTTCTGATCATGGGCCCTGGTTCTCATGGGGGACTTCAGTCACCCTGACATCTGCTGGGAAGGCAATCCAGCCATGTACAGACAATCTGGGAAGTTTTTGGAGAGCATTGGGGACAATTCTCTGGTGCAAGAGGCTATGTAGGAGCCATGCTCTTTTTGACCTGCTGCTCACAAACAGGGAAGAATTGGTGGGAAATGTAGTAGTGGATGGCAGCTTGGGCAGCAGTGATGACGAGATGATTGAGTTCAGGTTCCTGAGGAAAGAAAGGAAGGAGAGCAGCAGAGTAAGGAACATGGACTTCAGAAAAGCAGACTTCAACTCACTCAGGGAACTGATGGCAGGATCCCCTGGGAGGCCAGTTTGAGGAGTCTAGGAGAGTTGGTGGTACTTTAAAGAAGCCTTACTGAGAGCACAGGGACAATCTATCCTAAGGCACAGGAACACTAGTAAGTATGACAGAAGACAGGCTTGGCTTAGCAGGGACTCTTCAGTAAGCTAAAACACAAAAAGAAAGCTTACAAGAAATGGAAACTTGGACAAATGACTAGGGAGTAGTATAAGAGTGTTGCTTGGGCATGCAGGGATGAAAGCAAGAAGTGCATTTGGAGTTAAAATTAGCAAGGGACGTGAAGGGTAACAAGAAGAGTTTCTTCAAGCATGTCAGTAACAAGAGGAAGATCAGGAAAAGTGTGGGTCTCTTACAGAATGGGGGAGGCAACATAGTGACAGATGATACAGAAAAGGATGAGGTACTCAATGTCTTTTTTTACCTCAGTCTTCACAGACAAAGTCCGTTCCCAGACTACTGCATCTGGAAGCATAGTTTGGGGAAGGAGGTAAGCAGCCAACAGTGATGAAAGAACAGGTTAGGGACTATTTAGAAAACTGGACATATACAAGTCGCATGGGGATGGCTAGGATGCACCCAAGGCTGCAGCAGCTCAAATAGAAGTGGTGCAAATTTGAGCTGGGGCTTTTTGCCTCAGCGCACATGCCCAGACATGCACTTTGGTGTGGGGCAAATTGTGACACTTGGGGCAAAATAACCCTACCTGGCTCCTCCTGGATCTGCAGCCAGGGGGAGCTAGAGCCCGGGGCCAGCACCTTGTCCTGTCCCCAGCGGTAAAAAAAGCTGCCCTCTCCTAGCCCCATCAGTACAAAAAGCTGTCCTGTCAAGTAGCTCAGGGCTACTCGCTCTCAGGAGTTTCTGGGCCCAGCCAGTGGTACCTGGGGACAGTACCCCTTGGGCCAGCTGAACTGCTGAAGCAGCCTGAGCTGCACCCTCTACAGCAGTCTGGCATGGGGGCTGCTGCCTGGCTGTGACCTGCTGTGTACCTGCCAGACCCAGATGGGGACTGCACAGCCAATAGAGGCATCTGCCCCTCTGGGCCAGCTGCCAGTAGACTGTGGCTACAGGGTTGGCCTTTGTGCAGCACTACTGCCATGTGTGCCCCTGCCTGGCTATCTGGGCAGCTATCACCCAGAAGATGTTCCAGGTGTGGTGGCCTGCTTTGAACTGTCAAATCATGACCTCCTGGCCCCAATTGCCTAGGAGGTCAGCCACCTCCAGCTGGGTCCCAGGTGCCAGCTCTGAGCAGGCAGGGTCCTGCCACTGGCCTCCCTAGCAGAAATTCTTGTGTTCCCTATTGGAAAACTGAAAAATCCCTGATCAAAAATCCCAGTCACTCTGTACAATACCCTGAAATCTATGCTCCTCCATGATTAAAACAAAAGACCACAAGAGAGAGAAAGAGAGAAAGTCAGAGACAGAGACAGCGATCAGTTGGGCAATGTTTTATTGATATATCTACAGTGTTAAAGCAATTTGGAAGCCCACCAGTGTCTCTGTCATCATAATAAAGTGAATTCTAAACACCTATATGCTTTGCTGCCCCCACAGGGGACACAGCCCTTCCAACAGGGCAGGGCGGGGCAGGGCAGCGATTGTGGGGAATGCGGCTGGGTGGGGCGGGGCGGGGCAGGGCAGGTGGGGGATGGGCCTGGAG